TTGAATGCACTGAGTGATGAAATAAATATATGATCCAGAGATATTTTCTCTACAAATTCATGTGGATGCTATAGATAGCTAGTGCTTACATAATCTCTGTCTTCCATGGACAGAAGACTTCAGTTTCCAGGACTGTCAACTCTAGCAGATTCCCTCAACTCTAAAAGATTTAATACTTTCCAGGATTTTCAGAGCTCTCATAAAGGATCTAGCTCATCAAGCTCCGATGATCACAATATGGCTCATGTCCATAAAATGTGCTGTTGCCAGAAATGTAAAAGAAAACCACTTCTCCCATTAATTCTCCCATTAATGCAAATTACAAAATAAAGTCAATAAAGGTGTTTTTCTGTGATCTCTTGTAGTTCAAGAAATTTTTCATCCACATGGTTGAATTTCCTTGGGTTGCACACAAGTTAGATTTGATAGCAAATGATGAAGTAAAGCACTATTTTTTAGCTTAAACCTTTCAAAAGAAGAAATAACTGTCAACAAATTTTCAAGGAGATTGTGCTTCAGAATACAAAAGTAAAGGCTATTTGGCTTGCACAGGGTAAGGCAATACTATCTCTTCACAACAATATCACTGTTCATAGAAAGCTGGATACGCTGAGTATCTTTCCTTGATGACACAGAGCAGGAACATGACAAAATCCTATGTCAGACTTGGTTTGTCCTCCAAAAATCATTACAGGGGTATTTCAACAGCCAAGGGAGACCAGCATCCTCAGACTGCTTCTATCATCCACATGATGACTCAGAGCTGCGATTGTTCTCTAGCTTCTTTGGCTAAGGTTTACTAGTCACCATCCCTCTTCTTCTCTGCTCCACCACACTCACCCCAAGACTTGAAATAAAATCTAATACTTAGCGCCAGGCATTTCTGACAATTGATTTTTCCAAGTGGGACCAAGGCATTCACCTTTCCCTAGAGTAATAACAATATATGCTAATTCTCCCCATCATTAGTTCAGCCACTAAGGATCAGACCAAATTCCCTATAAATATGATGCCTGAGTCACGCATTGTTAAATCAACATTCAAAAATTTGCTACATTGTAGAATCCGTAGGAAACTTAGCAAGAGAAAAATGAGATTTCAGTATTGCTTCAGGCTTTCTCTTCTCCAAGTTAAGCACTTTCAGTGCAGGTTGAAGATGACATAGCAGCTGCAGAGTATGCTGAATTGATTTTGCCAGTTATTTGCCTGTCTGGCATTGCTTTTTATTTTAGTAACTGAAGAATTAATCAGTTCTGGTGGTGTGTAAATACGTTCGTTGAGCAGGAGTCTAGAAAAGCTGCCATGGTCCAGCTTAGTCTTGGCCAAGACTTCTTAGCAGAAAACTAAACTTATAATAACAAAGCTGCTTCCCTGAACACCTATTTGTTAAATTAACAGGAACTCAAAGCTGTGTAGAAGTCGCAGAGCTAAAAGCAATAAGCTGGTTAGGCTGCTACTCAGACCTGTGGGTTTCTGAAATAGTTTTCAGTAAGAAAACTTAAATTACACCATTATTAAGAGAAATCTCTTATAATCACAATCTGCCAATTTATTTCATGTCTTAGAGCATTTTGTTTAACAAAAGAAGATCTTTTTCCTGGAAAATATTTGTCCATGACAGTCTGCAGGATGGACACTTTATATTTTTTCAGTATCTGAAGGACTTTAGATGGGCAAGAAGAAAAAGACAAGCTGGAGTTGCTTTAAATGGGCTCTCATTCTTTTAAAAATCACAAAATGGTAGAAGTTTTCCAGTGACAATTTTCTTCTTCCCTCAATATCTGTATTTGGCATGTGATGAAAACCCCAAGATTTTGATCTGCAGCTAAAACTGTAGCTTCACAGGGAGGGCAGATCAGATTCTCCACGTTGAAGTCACACTAGTTTTTTCCATACGAATTTATGGTTTCTACTGTCCATATTGGAGATTCCTTGGACAGTACAAATGGAAAACAAACAAGATCTTCCATGGGTACCATGACTGGAGCCTGACTGAAAACACCTGACTGGAAATATTCAACATTTTGTGGCAAAAAACATTTGTTAAAGATTTTCAGTTGTTTGGATGCATAGGATGAAACAGCAATGCATAAAGAAAGCACGAACAATTAAAAAACTTATTGAATGATTTTTCTTTGAAAACCAGACATTTTTAGTGACCGTATTCAAAAACCTTCGTTTGCTTTGAATATAAACAAAAAAGACCTAAGATTCTTATAGAGGACTCATCTCTGACTTAACTTGTACTTAACTAGCTCATCCCCTGTGGATGATTCTAAAGATGACCATTCCCTGCAATTTGTGAACCTTAAAACCTACCCCATTCTCAGAAACACTGTTGGAAATCAACTAGAGATGATAACTGATGAAAACATATACAGATATTTTGGGTTTCATAAGATACTGTTTTTCATCAGTAAAACACTCGGGATATATTGTCACTCTCCTAATTTTTAATCTATTTAGTTCTGTGCGAACACTTACGTGCAGTACATTGAAGTATCTCATTTGTATACATCAGGCTATCTACATTTTACCACATGGAGATATCACATTATTAATAGCTCTGTTCCTTAAATAAACTGCAGTTTGCTTTAAACTTCCTTTTTGTGCATGATCTTGTAAGAAAAAAGAGGCTTTCATACAAAGACTCAGTTTTTATATGCAAATATATCATTTGATTGCACACTTTTTTTTTGCCCTACATTATCATGAATATTTCTGATAAATGTTTTATGGGTTAGGTTTTGGATTTGTGATCATTTTCAAATTTTATCTGTTTGCCACACCATTTGCAAATACTGCATTCTTTGTTGATGTTGATTGGTTTCATTTACATATTTATCACACTTTTATTTTCAAGGATATTTTGCTATAAACTGCCTGTCCCCATTTCTCTTCCAGATACTAATAGCACATTGATACATTTTCAAATTTACCTCACATCCATATGCAATTTTTTTGGTCAACAATAAATCACCACTTAAGAGACATCGTATTCAATGTGATCGTTAACTTCATACATATCTGACATATGGTTTCTGAGTAATTAAAGATAAAAAAAAGATAAAAATTAAAGATATTTTGCCCTTACAGAGAGAGAATGAAAAGATAAAATATTAAGGTGTATTTCCCTACTCCTACTTGGACTCCTTTCTCCCCTTTTGGACAAACAACATGTTTGTGATCCTCTCCAGTAAGAGTGCAAATACTGGATAAATTTCTAAACAAAACGTGAGTTGTTTACAGATGAAATAATTTAGAAAAAAACATACGTGCCCCAGAATAGTTCAGATTTGATGGTGACTGTTATCTTTTCTGGTGCTAGCACCAGTTAACCCATGGATTTTTCTGTAGCTAAAAAAATATCAAGAAACATATGATCACACTAGTGGTGGAGGGCTGCAATACTTCCATAATAGACTAATGGGTACCTGATACATCTGTTCATCAAGAGCGCTCATAATTATATCTTCAGGTTTATCACTAAAATTAAACGCTTCCTCTCTTTATGTGCTAAGATTTTCAGAACTATCATCTGCAAAGAACTTCTCACATCCTCCCAGCTGGCTCTAAACATGAACAGTACTTTTTATTCTTTAGAACTGGTTTACCTGTTACAAATAGCAGTACTTTCCTCCCTAATCTTTCATTGATTTATTGTGATCTATTAGAAAAATCTCAAATTAATCAGTTTCCCATGATCTTCTGGCACTTTATTAATTCATAGAATCATAGAAAGGTTTCGGTTGTAAGGGACCTTAAAGATCATCTAGTTTCAGCCCCCCCCTGCCATGGGCAGGAACACCTTCCATGAGACCAGGTTGCTCAAAGCCCTATCCAGCCTGACCTTGAAAACTTCCAGGGATAGGGCATCCACAATTTCTCTGGGCAACCTTTTCCAGTGCTTCACCACCCTCACAGTAAAGAATCTCCTGGTAGTATCTAATCTAAACCTACCCTCTTTTAGTTAAAAGCCATTACCCCTTGTCCTATCACTACACTCCCTGGTAAAGAGTTCCTCCCCAGTTTTCCTGTAGCCCCTTTTAGGTACTGAAAGACCATTATAAGGTTTCCCCAGGGCTTTTCCTTCTCTAGGTTGAACAACCCCAATTCCCTCAGCCTCTCTTTATAGGAGACTTGCTTAAGTCCTCTGATCATCCTTGTGGCCCTTCTCTGGACTCACTCCTACAGGTCCATGACACTTCCAAGGTTCAAGTCCTGGGGACTCCAGAGCTGAATACAGTAAGTAATACAGCTAAGTACAGTCTAAAAAGAGCAGGGTAGAGTGGAAGAATTGCCTCCCTTGACCTACTGTTCATGCTTCTTTTGATGCAGCACAAAATATGGTTGGCTTTCTGGGCTGCAAGTGTGCATTGCTGGCTCATGTTGAGTTTTTCATCAACTCAAGCACTTCTCTTAATGGCTGCTTTCAATCCACTCATTTTCCAGCCTTTATTACTGTTTGGGATTACCCTGACCCAGGTGCAAGACCTTGGACTTTGCCTCGTTCAACTTCATGATGTTCACATAGGCCCATGTCTCAAGTCCTCCCTCCGCTGTGCTAACTGCAACACGTAGCTTAACATTTTCCACAAACTTGCTAACGGCACACTCAATCCCACTCTCCAAGTCACCAACAAAGATATTAAACAGTGCCAGTCCCTATACCAACTGCTGAGCAACACCACTTATCACTGATCTCCATCTGGACGTCTAACCATTGAGCACAACTCTTTGAGTGTGATTGCAATGACACTCCCTGCTGGCCTTTGACCAAAGACTGCCCACTTGTTGATATGAAAATGTATTTATGACAACAGTGTTTTGGAACATAAATTATTATTATTTTTTTTTTTAAATAAAAAAAATACAGAAAGATGAAACTAGGTTGAGTTCAGAGACTGGAGCTGCTTACAGGCAGTAAAAGGAGCAGCATCTAGAAACTGTTTTTTGAAGTAAAATGGTTGTTTCCTAGTAAATATTGATACAATACATACATTTTCTCTAGGTCATGAAGTCCTGCAAAAGCTCCTTTAGGAATGACTCTCATCTTGGTAAGGACAAATCTCCTGAAAATAGAGAAAATTATGTGATTATTCACTGTTCACAATACACACCTGCGTGACACCCTTTGTCAGTACAGAAGAGGCCAAGAATAGAATAGAAGAGGCCTAGAATAGAAGAGAATGTAAATTGAATCATAGAGGTTGAAAAAGACCTCTAGGATCATCTGGTCCAGTCAACTCCTTATTACCACTAAACCGTGTCCCAGAGCACCAAGTCCAACCTTTCCTTAAACACCCCCAGGTTTGGTGATGCCACCACATTCCTGGGTAACCTGTTGCAATGCCTGAATACTCTTTCTAAGAAGAAATGTCTCCTAATTTCCAAACTAAACCTCCCCTGGCACAACTTGACACCATTCCCTCTAGTTATCTGGGTGAGAAGAGGCCAACCCCCAGCTCCCCACACCTTCCTTTCAGGTAGTTGCAGAGAGCAAGGAGGTCTCCCCTGAGCCCCTTCTTCTCCAGACTAAATGACCCCAGTTCCCTCAGCCGCTCCTCACAGGACTTGCGCTCCAGGCCCTTTACCAGCTTTGTAGCCCTTCTCTGGACACACTCCAGGGCCTCAATGTCCTTCTTGTAGTGAGGGGCCCAAAACCGAATGCAATACTTGAGGTGTGGCCTCACCAGAGCAGAGTACAGGGGGACGATCACCTCCCTGCTCCTGCTGGCTACACAATTCCTGACACAAGCCAGGATGCCATTGGCCTTCTTGGCCACCTGGGCACATTGCCGGCTCATGTTCAGGTGAGCATCAACCAACATTGCCAGATCCTTTTCCTCTGCAAAACTTTCAAGCCATCTGCCCCAACACTGATACAAAGCTGATATCACTGATACAAGGAGAGTCTCCATCCTGAAGGCTTCACAGTCTAAATACAGCTATAAAATTCATATGCTTCATAGGTCTCCAGCTGCCCACCTGGGCCAAAATTACAGCACTGTGTTGGTCTGCTGCTGGAGCTGGTGGGAAAAAAGCATCCACCAGTGAGTTGCAAGTACCCTGTTGGCTTTAGTAAGAAACAAACAGCTGGTCACCACAGCTGTGTTGTATGCTGGTAGGTAACAGTGTTTTTTTTCATCTTGTCCTCTCTTTTGAGAGATACTCAAGCATAGGATGAAACAGCTCTGTGGAGCTGAACCGGGATGAGTTGCTTACACAATGTTGTAAGGTGCTACATGCATGCTTATGCAAGATAAGCCTTAAGCTGTTGCAAAGATAATTTAAGGAGTCAGATAGTATCTCCCATCAGTGCCACTTTAATACTCTTCATTGCTTCTCACAGTCTCTCTTCTAATTAATTCATAATATGCTATAAAATTGGGACTTCAGAATACACACCTCTATCACACAGGAACCAAGACAACATTTTAATCATTTGTAAAGGTCACTGTAGATATTTTATGAAGAATAAGTATTTAAAATACCGTATAAACCTTTTTGTTAACCTGAACTCTTCTTTTATCACAGTAAACAAAGAAGATTACAAAATTTCTGATGTTACTCAAAAAACAAAATGTAGGATATCTACTACACTTAAGAGTAATAACTTAGGAGCAGTAATTTCACTTAGGAGAAATAAGGTATTAGCTAGGTAATTATTTTATTTCATTCATTTAAGGATTCATGGGTAGTGAGTACAAATCACTGCATATATAAACATGACCTACTCATCAAGACACATAATTCACATGATATGCTTATGACGAGATGCCAGGTCAAGAAAGCATAGCTGAGGCATGAGAAACCCTACAGTGAGTTTGTAGGGAGAAGTACTGCCAGAAATAAAAGTCATACTCAAACTCTCATGTGTTAAACACCAAGCAGATAACAAAAATTAAACATCAGATAATGTTTGCTACATACATGAGATCAATTTGTCATTTAATTTGTTGGTCAATGGACACCTCATTTAGCTCTACAGATGCCACTGGGATTACATCAGGAGTGAATTTTGCCCCATACTTTTTTTAAGCATTAAGAAATACATTGTATTCTCAGTCTGAAAAGATAATAAAGTAAATTTGGTATTCCATTATTCTTGTACAATTATTAATGTAAGTCAGAAAAAGTTTCTAAATACTGTCACACAAGTATTGCAGAATTGAGATCATTATGCAAATGTTAGAAGGATTAAAGAGCTTCCAGAAAAGGCCTACCCTGGATCAGGCAATTTGTAAAGCCCTACTGAAAACATGGCTAGTGTAATGCATGCAAAGCTATGTCTGTACTTTCAGAGTTCAGATATTGGATCTGTGCAGAACACCCGGCAGGCTTAGTGCTGCAAAGATGAACCATCAGGCAACTTTTTGATCTGCTTTGAAACCTTTTCTAACCTCTCCTTTGTAGAAACACATGCCTGAATTTGGAGCCCTAGAAAGTGGGCACAGTCTGAATAGCCACCTATATTTTTTTAATGGCAATACTCTAAAATGAATCCTCTCTCTGTAGATCATCAAGAGGTTTGCAATTCTTTAATTAGATACTGGCCTATGCCATTCTTTACCACAATAAGAACTTACAGCCTGATCCTGAAACTTATTAAAAGAAAGAAGCTTCATTGATGTATGAGGTTACCCATAGAAGTAAAGCCATAAGTGCACAGAAAGATCAAACCTTGGGTTTCTTTGTTGAATAGCCTGCCTTGTGCTAATAAGGTGCCAGAATTCAGGAGCTTCATATCTGATGCCCTGGAGCTGCTAAAGTAGAACTGAAGTTTAATAGCTGAAGTCGCACATTCCACTTAAAAAACTAAGGTTAATTGTATTTAAATGTCCCTGTTAGGCTAATAAAGTTAGCTTTAATGTTATAACTAACACTGAAAATTAGAATCAGCTACGTGTTGAATTATCAACTGTATAATGAATAGGAGTCCATTATAACTAGTGGCATGCTGTATTGTCAATAAATCTCACAAATTAGGCTCCAAGAATCAATCTGTACTTTACCTGAGATACTGATATTCAGTACGAATTCTTGCTGGGTCACATGGGGAAATAATTGATAAGCATTTCCTTGTTTTTGTTACTGGAAATATTTAAAGTCAAAGAATTGAATACAGTCCACTTTTCTTCAAGCATGTTTTATGTCAAAACAAACAAAAGCATCCTTTAAAAAACAGGTGCTTAATGGAAAGATGCATTATTTGGTAGTAAAAAATAATGCTAGGACTTAGGCACCTGCAAAGAGAGCACAGAAAACCATAAAAGTTATGCACATGATGTAAAATTAAAAACCAAGAGCCAGGTGCCTGGCACAAGGTGTGAGAAAGGTTAGACCAAAGGTTAGGTGATCCAAAAACCTGTACCCTAAGCAGGGAGCTGTGCAGACTTAGACCCCAGGAAACTAAATGCACGTCTCCATCTCAACTCCAAAGCACCCAGGTCTTGTATGCCCTCCACAAGTACAAAAAGCCAAAGAGCTCCTGCTCACAGCAGCTTTGCTGAAGTGGAGGAAGGCTTTGTGCTCTTTCAGTGCTGCCCTGGCAGCAGAAGGACAGACACAGGGAATGGGAGTCTCAGCTTCAAGTACCCCTCTCATCCCAAGTGCTGCTCAGCAGCCAAGAGACCTCTCTCTGTGTCCGGCTGCAGCTCAAGCATTGCACAGCCAGGGCTATGATACTCCTTGGGCAATGAGGGAGGACAAGAGGGATCTTAACCCTAGCATTCTCTCTAAAGGCATTACAGTTAGATTTGATTTCCTTTGGACAGATTAAAAAAAATAAATAATTTTTTAAAGTCCAAAGTTCAGTACTGTTAGTGTTATCAATATATAAGCTACAATACATCCTAGAAATTCTAGCAAGGCCCCCAGTGTTGGAGCCACCAAAAACTTAAAAAATAATGAGAAAGCAGAAACAATGACAGGAAATAAAACAAACCCCAAGTGGTGAACATGATTATCCTGCATCCTACATGTCTGGAAATAGAAGACAGATATAATAACTACTGTTATTACCTATGTACAGCAGTATAAACTAGATTTAAATCTAGCCCATTGCTCATTGCATAGAACCCCTAAAGTGCTGGAGAGGTTTCTAAATCCTGGTTTAAATACATCTGTTGAAAGTTATTCTTTGGGAGGTTGATAGAAACTAAAGTTACCTGCTAAAGTTGTGCAAACCCACTTGCACTTTATATATATATATCTATAAATTACAGTATAAACATGCACTTAAATATACAAATTTGCATAGTATTTAACTGATTATTCCCTACATAGTTTTTTCTGACCATTGAGAGTAGTTGGTTTCTTTTGTGCAGTAAAATACTTTTACATCTGGAGAGACAATAAAGCTTACTATCAGATATTTCTCTGGACTGAACATGCACACTTCCCACAGGTTTTCATGTTTCATTCCTAAGTTTTGTGCATTTTATATGCCTTTTATCATTTTTTGTTCATCTCATGAATAGCTGTCTGTAATTAGAAAACTACTAAAAAACTGTTTCTAATTAAGGCTAGACCTGTCAGGACTAGATCAGAACTATCTCCTACTGATTTATTTATTTATACAGAGACATCTAAACCTGGCTATTTAAGAGGGCAAGGTTTCAGTTAATATGAAGCCACTGACACAGATGACTTATACAACCTTATATCACAATGAGTAGGAAACAACGCAAATACATCTTGTTTCTGTAAGGCTGTGTCTAGTATAAGAGAAATATCATAGTGCCAAGTTAATCTCAAAGCTTGTAGAAGACATGATGCAAAGAACAGAAATTATCAGGTACTGGTAAAGTGATCCTGAATAACCCTCCAACATTTTCAGCTACAAAGAGATTTATTGAACTTTTTCCTAAAATAGAGTCTTCTGCAGCTGAAGTAGTTCAGACAGACATAGCATAAGACATGAAGGAGAAAAAAATACTCCAGAAAAGAACAATATTCTTCCATTCAGCCCTATGTGAATTCAGGTACAGAAATCAGACTGGCTTCACCAAGAAGAGAAAGAGGACTGTATGCAACTATTTAAGTATCTGATGCCTAAGGTGCGGGTAAG